CCGCTTAGAGAGGGCTGATAGGCCTATGAAGCGGTAGATAAGTCTAACTGCTATTGCTGTCTTCATTCCTCCTTCCTCATCCCCCCACTGTCTCTGCTCTCCATCCTGGGGGGGGGGGGGCCGGGCCCCCTGGGAGCTCAGCCCCCCCCCCCTTTGGGATCTCCCCACAAGCAACGTCCGTGGGGACGGCGGGTTCACTTAATGGCCATGTCACTAACTGAACAACTGCGGCGAGTCACTGAACAAGGTTGTAAAACGGGGCAAAACTCATTTAACAACCGCCTCTCTTAGCAACAGGAAATGTGGGTTCAATTGTGGCCGTAAGCTGAGGACTACCTGTAGTTGGAGGGGGGGGGGGCTGCTCTCTCCCTGCTTCCCAGGGGCTGACAGGAGCATACACCCCCCCCAACCTCCCCCAGCCTAAAATCCCAGAGGGGTCAGGTAACATTTCCAAGGCTAAGAAAGTCCCCAGGGACCCCCGGAGAAAGTGACCCCCTCCCCTCAGGACCCCCGGCCCTCCCTCCTCCCCCCTGGCGCCTAGGAAGCCCCCCAGGCCAGGCCTCCTCCCAGCCCCCAGCTCCAAAGCGAGGCTCCAGATGGCTCCCCTGGCCAAGAGAGAAGCCCCCCCCCCCTTGGCCGCCCCCCTTCCCCTTGCCCACCTGAGGATGCCCATCTTCTCCAGGCCCTCCGGACTCAGCCTGTCCCGGGAGAGGAGGTTGCTCAGCTGCTGCTCCAGGTGCCCGGCCTCCCGCAGGGCCTTGCCCAGCTCCTGCTGCTGCTGCTGGGGGCCCTTCTGCTGCTCCGCCTCCCTGCTCGGGGGCTCGGCCGGGAGGGCGCTGCCAGCCCCCCCAGCCCCACAAGGCTCGGCCTGCTTGGGGTAGCCGGTGGGGTAATAGGCTCCCGGGTAGGCCTCGGTGCCGGTGCCCATCGGGTAGGGCAGGGGGTAACCCGTGTAAGGGTAGGGGGCCCCTCCATAGTAATAGGGGTTGTCCGAGTTCTGGAAGCGGTAGTAGGGGGCCTGGGCCTGGCAGGGCTCCCCTCGAGGCACGGGGGCCCCCTCATCGTCCGTGTCCAGGAAGTGCAGCTGGGCCCCGGGGCTCTTCAGCGCCGGCTTCTGGTCTGGGTTGTTGGGGTCCCAGAGGCGGCGGGACGTGCCCCCCCGGCTCCAGCCGCGAGGGCCTTTGCTGCCGCCAAAAAGGAGCCGGGCGCCCCCTGCGTGGGGGGCTTCGGGGGACCCTGTGCCGCTGGGGGTCAGGTCCGTGTTAGCTGGCAGCACCAGGATTCCTCGGCCCCGGTTCTGGGACTTCCCCTCCCCGGCTTCCGGGGGGTCCCTGGGGGTGGCCCTGGAGGGCCTGCCGCCCTTTCGCCATTCAGGCTGGGAGGCCCCGGAGCCCCTGCCTGCGGAGCCCCTGCCGCCCCCCTGGGCCGCTCGGGGGTCCTGGCCCCGCCCGGGCCGGCTGTGCTCGCAGCCCCTCCTGCCCTCGGGGGCCTCCTCGGCCCGGTCCTCTTCCAGGGAGTCGGTGGAGGAGGCGGAGAGCTGCTTCTGAGGGCGGGGCCTTTCCGGGGGCTTCCTGCCCACCTCCCCCTCCCCGCGGGCCCCCTCGGTGCTGTTGTTGCTTCCGGCTGAGCTGGTGCTGCAGGTGCGGTAGCGGCTACGACGCTTGTCCGAGCGGGAGTAGCGCTTGGGGGGGCTGCCCTTGCCGTGGCCCAGCTCGTCTCGGGGCTTCCGGGGCCGCTCGGCCCGCCGGCCCTTCTCCCCCCGGAGAGGCTTGGCCGCTTCCTGGCTCGGCTCCCCTTCCTGGTCCCCGGGCTTCCTGAGGCCGTTGCCGGCCCTCCCGGCCTCCTTCTCGCAGTCCGCTCCCCTCTCCTCCTTCGGGGGCGGCTCCTCGTCTACCGGGGGGGCGGCCCCGGCTTCTCGGGGCGAGGCCTGCAGGCGTTTGCCAGGCTGGTAGATCTGCTGGTCGGGCTTCTTGGCCCGCCGGATGATGCGAGGGCACCAGTCCTCAGGGGTGCCCCCGCGGCCCTGCGGGGAGCCTTCCAGGAAGCCGTTGGGCGGCTGGCCCCCGTCTTCGGGAGGGGGCTGGGGGGGCGGGCTGTCCTCCTTGCAGGCGGCTGCCGGGGGCTCCCTGGGGCCCGGCCTCTCCTCCTTGGCCTCCTCCTGCCTCGGAGGCTCCGGCTTCTCGGGGGCCGCCTTGTTCCTCAGGCGGGAGAGGCCCGGCTTGTAGATCTCGAGATCCGGACGCCTGTTGTCCTTCCGATGCCTCGGTTCCTTCATGGTCTCTGCAAGGGGGGGACGGGGGACACAACAGCAGGGTCAGCCCTGGAGCCACTGGGGGGGTGGGGGTGTTTGTGTGCTTGAAGGAGGGAGGGAGGAGTGGGCAGACCAGCTATGGTGAGGGAGCAAACCGACTTATGCAACCAAACCGGGAGTGGCAGCTCTGTCGTTAAGCAAAGCTGCCACTAAGTGGGACGTCATGTGACTGGGCTTTCCTTTCCCCCTTCTCCTCTGCCCAGCCTTAAGCACCGGGCGGATTGGCCAGAAGAGAATTCCTGGGAGAGGAAGGGGTGCCAAGGAGGGGAGGGAAAAGGTTCGGGGCGCCTGCTGACTCCCTTGGCATCCCTTCCTCTCCCAGCTTTACACCCTAGAAGACGTTTCCCCCCCAGCTGCACAAGGAAGGCAGCCAGAAACCGAGGCCGGCTTCGAATGCCCTTTGATGGCTTCCTGAACACAGAGAGATAGGAAAGAGGAGCCACGGTGGCGCAGTGGTGAGACTGCAGTACTGCAGGCTGTTTCTGCTGACTGCCGTCTGCCTGCGATTTGGCAGTTCAAACCTCACCAGCCTTCCGTCCTTCCCAGGTGGGTCAAATGAGGACCCAGACTGTTGGGGGCCAGAGGCTGGGAACCGCTTGGAGAGGGCTGGAAAATCCCCGTGAAGCGGGATATAAGGCTACGGGCCACTGCTATTGCTAAGAGGCAACCATTAAAAATGCTTTTTTTAAAAAAGTAACAAATGTATTAATTGAAAGGGGAAAAAAACCAGAAAACCAAAGAGAAACCAAACATGAAGAAATAAAAACTTTTGCATTTAACTAAACAGCTTTCTGGGGGTGGGGGAGGGGGTGGCTGGGGCTGTGTTTCTGATTGCAGCTGAAGCTGCTAATAACCAAATATATATTTTGTATATCTATACCTATCTATATCTCCCAAGTAAAAATACAAAAATTTGGAAAGGAAAAAAGGAAAAAAACAAGGAAACAACATCGAACTCATTAAAAATGGGGAAAAACCCCATCTTTACAAAAATAAGAAATGAAATATATCATTACCACTAACATTAAACCTAAAAGTCCCCATTTTGGGGTCCAGCAGGAGGGCCTGGCGGTGGCTCTTTCTGTGGGGCCCTCCCAGCTTTGGCACGGTTAGCCCCCCCCCCCCAAGGGGAGAGCCCCCTCTGCTCCTGAGCCCTTCGGGAGGACGGGGAGAATCTTTGGGAAGGCTAAAGACCCCTCGCTTGGTTCCTATGGCCCTCTGGTCTCTTGGTTTTGGGCCACGAACACCCCCCTCCCTCCAGAGCCCCTTGTAGCCCTCCCCCATGAGCCCCACGGAGGCTCCTTTCCCAGAGACAGGACAGACCGTCTCTTCCTCCTCCTCCTCCTCCTCCTCCTGGGGAGCACCTCCCATCCGTGGCCGAGGCCTCCCACCGCTCAGCTTCATGGGCCATGGCCATTGTGCGGGCTGCAGCCCGGAAGACCCAGCCTGTCCTGGGGAGGCTCTGGTGGGCTGGCATCGGAACACTGGCAGCGGCTCCCGTGGCAACCAGGCTGGGCCAGAAGGGCCTGGAACCGAGGGTCCCGGCCCAGGGGCCCCACGGAACAGCCCAGCCCTGAGTTCTCCCTTGGCTTCCGGGCATGGAGCCCAGTGGCTGGGTCAGGCCACAGGTGCCCAGAGGGAGCCTCTGGCTGCCAGGCTCTGCGGCCGAAGGACCGGAAGGGGCATCAGGCAGGCCAACCTGGAGGTCTCTCCCCAAGTGAGCCCCCCCCCACTTCCCACCTTGGGTCTGCGGAGGCCATGGCTGCCCCAAAGGGGCTTTTCCCAAAAGGCAACTGGACTTTCTTGGGGTTTTTCCCTGGCAACGTTTCCCTTCTCCTCCAAGAAGCTCCCTCCAATCTGTTAACGCTGAAGCTGCCGGGGGGGGGGGGGGGGAAGCAGGGTGTCACGAAAGATGGTGCTAAAGACCCAGAGACTGGGTCGCAGCAAGAGCAGAGCCGCCACCCAGAGGCCCTGGCAGAAGCTGGCCACGGAGGCACGAAGATGCCCTCTGGGGTCGGAGGCTGGGAGCCCAGCAAACACGGGTCTGGAGCCTGGCACCTGAGCGGGTGGCATACCAGAGGTTCTGCGGTGCGGGCAAGGGCGCCTGGTGGTGAGCAAGATACCAGAGAGGGGTCTCTTGCACGGAGCCAGGAGCTCCCCCTTTAAGTCCTCAACCTACAGCCACAAGGGAGCCAAACATTTTGGTTGCTAAGCCAGACAGTTGTTAAGTAAGGTTTGCCCCAATTTATGACCTTTCCTGCCACAGTTCTTAAGTGAATCACTGCCGTTGATATGTTAGTCACATGGTCGTTAAGTGAATCTGGTTTCTCCATTGAGGGGTCCCAAAAGGGGATCACATGACCCCAGGACACTGTGACCGTCATAAATATGGGTCAGTTGCCAAGAGTCTGAATTTTGGAGACGTGATTGTGGGGATCTCGCAAGGGTTGTTGAAAAACAGTCCTGTCCGTGTTTTCAGTGCCGTTGTAATTTCGGTCACGAAATGAAAGGTTGTAGGTCGAGGACTACCTATAAAGAATCAAAGGGTTTGGAGACGGGGGCCAGAGGGAGGGGGAATCGCTGGGCTCTTCACCAAAAGGACAGAGAAGAGACACAACAGAATGCCAGAGTTGAAAGGGACTCTGGAGGTCTTCTAGTCCAGTGTTTTTCAACCTTGGCAACTTGAAGATGTCCGGACTTCAACTCCCAGAATTCCCCAGCAGTGGTTAGGCCAGTGTTTCTCAACTTTGTCCACTTGAAGATGTCCGGACTTCAACTCCCAGAGTTCCCCAGCCAGCATTCGCTGGCTGGGGAATTCTGGGAGTTGAAGTCCGGACATCTTCAAGTTGCCAAGGTTGAAAAACACTGGTCTAGTCCAACCCCCTGATTAGACAAATGCCTGTCCAGTCTCTTCTTAAAGGCTCCCAGTGTTGGAGCGTTCACAACCTCTGGAGGAAACTTATGTTCCCCTGGTCAACTCTTCGAACTGCCGGGAAATGTCTCCTAAATTCCCAGTTGATTCCCTCCTTGATGAGTTTCCATCCGTTCTCTCTTGCCTTCTGGGGCTTTGGGGAATAGCTTGACTCCCAAATCTTCTTTGGGGCGGCCCTTTTGACATGGGGAGACTGCTATCGTGTCTCCCCTGGTCCTTCTTTGCATTCAACTAGATTATCCAGTTGCTGGAACTGCTTAGGCCCCTCTGCCCTGAAAAACGGGCCGGGTGGCCAGAGAAGCCCGGCTGCTGTCAATGGGCTTTTGCTTCCATAGGTAGCTATGGATTATCCTCCAGCACTAGGATTTATCAGCCGGGGTTCTGGCTTGGAGGTTTTGCGTTTTTAATTCTTTTTTTAAAAAACATATTTTTATTTCAATTTCATAACATATGATCACATGTGAGCGTTTTTAATTCTTGTAAGTCAACCGGAGTCAACTGAGCGAGAGGGCCAGCTATAGCCATCCTGTCCTGTAAATCAGGGTTGTCCAACTTTGGCAGCTTTAAGACTTGGGGACTTCAACTCCCAGAATTCCAGTCAACTTTACGACTGGGGGACTTCTGGGAATTGAAGTCCCCAAGTCTTAAAGTTGCCAAAGTTGGACGCTGGCCGATTAGATTTCTCTTTGACAGCTGTTGCTGACCTGATGGAAATGCGGATCATAACGGGAGATCCTGCCCCACACGGAGCCCTCGGCCCATGGCCAAGAACCGTCTCTAGACAGCCGAGCTTAAAAGCAGCCGGAGGGAGAGTCACCTGCTGCGTAAGATGTAGCAGAACCGAGAAGGAGCTGTGAGCGAAATCTCCCGTTTTGCATAGAGCCGAGGGGGGAAACCACCAGGAGGCCCCACAGGAAAAGCCAAAAGGGCAACCAGACCACAAAAACTGATTCCACGGGGTTAAGAGAAGGTCAACGAGGAGGAGGAGGAGGAGGCCAGCTCAGCATCTAGGAAACGTCATAAGAGAGGAAAATAGACACGGCAGGCTCTCTTGAACAAGAGCAGAAGCTCCGGATGGAAACACCGTCAGCCCTGCCATCTTCTGCCTATTTGCTCCGCTGGCATCCTGCCATAAAGCGCAGAGGTGGGGGGGGAGGAGATTGGGGAAGTGGGGAATGGGCACGGGGAGGAAGAGGGGAGGGGGGTGATAGGAGCCAGAGCAATAGCAATAGCAATAGCAGTAGACTTATATACCGCTTCATAGGGCTTTCAGCCCTCTCTAAGCAGTTTACAGAGAGTCAGCATATTGCNTGGGGGCAATATGCTGACTCTGTAAACTGCTTAGAGAGGGCTGAAAGCCCTATGAAGCGGTATATAAGTCTAACTGCTATTGCTATTGCTATTGACAACAGCCAATAGAATACATGTTCTTGCACAGGAACAGGAAGTTCAAGTACAAAGCCCAAGAGAAGGTTTAAATACCGCCCCTCACTCTCAACTCCATGTGGTTAGCGGCACCAGAACCATGAGCTTGATGGTTCTGCTTCATTATTAAACCATCTTTCTAATCAGCCTCCATGTTTCCAGTGGCTTTCTCCCGACTTGGAACTAAACCAGATGGATATTTCTTCCAACAATAATAAAGTCAGGCCTGAAAGAATAGGAGCGCACATGAAGTTCCAATTAAATCAATGTATTACTAATCATGATTATGCAGAGGAATCTACTCAGCTACAAGTGAACAGTATCTTGGCATTAGAAAAGGGTCAATGGAATTCAAGAGAGGTTGGATCAGTGATGGGTTCCAGACTGTACACCCCGGTACGGGTGTACTGGTGGCAGCTGGGAGCAGTGGCCACTTACCGAAATGGTGTTTTGTTGGGCCCACCCACTCGCCCAAATTCCTTACCTGTTTTTAAGCTAACTGTGCCATTTGTGCACACGCGCGCAGCGTACAGCGCCTGTGTGACCTCCACCGAGCAGCTGGAACGTTGTAGGGCAGTGAGTGTGCATGCGCATGCAGCGCACCTGTCCGAG